AAAAAATTCATTTAGTTATATCTTAATGTGAATGAGACAACTAGGAACTATTTTTATGGGGGCATTAGATTGTGCTGTGTACCCTGAGATGCAATATAATATTCATTGAGAAATTTTTATGTACTTCCTAATTCTTGTTTTCAAAAGTTAGCGCAACCTGAATATTGAACACTTTGTGAAAAGCATCTTTGTCAAGGTTCTCCTGTGTCTAATTAAAACTAGCTTAATCAAAACAAGAAACTGTTGAAAAGACACAGGAGCATTTTGTGGAACACAAAGCAGCCTAACCTTACTAGAAACTGACTTTGCTCCCTTTCTTTCTTTTTCAGTCTCACATGTTCCTCTTAACTACTTCTCCCCATGTATCTACTTGACTTCTTTATTGTCTGCAATTTGTCTTCCTTGCATCTCTACACATGCCCCAAATCTCCATAGTTTATGCTTTTTATTACTAGCTACACGCAGAGACCAATTCCAGATTAATGGGCAGAAGAAACAGATGAGGTTAGCTTAAGGGGAGAGTCATCTCTACTCTAATCATCTCTGACCAGGGGTGCAGGGTCATATGATATAAATATGGCTGCCTGCCATGTCCTCTACTGTTCTCAGAGAAATCATTATTGGTAGAGCATAAATTCTAAAACTAATCAACTACTTCACCTAATAGGTTACTATATTCTCTCATATCTGTACGGTATTAAAGCATGCACTTAAACCAGATGGAACACTTAGATTACCTAATTGTTGGATTTCCTTTTCTCTATATAATTTTTTTCTCAATCTTTACTCTGATTTCAACTTTGTATTTTATAAACTGCAAACAATTCTAAAAGTGTTTCAGTTCCAAGAGAGATACGATAGAAATCATTCTAAGTATCTAAGCAGCTGGAATTTATACATATGTATACTTATGAATCAAAACCAGGTCAACTTTAGAAATATAGAATATTACATGTGTGTTTTTCATCCAAACAGCACAAAGTCAAACACTTCTCACTGAAGTCAATAGTGCTTTTGGTTTGAATGGGCAAAGAAATTTTAATTGTTGCCTCATCTATTAAGACCATTTCTGATTTGAAGATTTCATGTAATCATTGGGAATAATAGGCTACAAATTTTTAATCATTGTTAAATATCTTAAAGCTCTTATGCCTGAATAAATATGTATTAGACAGATAGGAAAATTATATTTTCCAAGCTTGAAAAAAAGAGGGAAGTTACTCAAAGTATCTCGTTTTTTGAAAATTGGCTGTAAAGATAAGTGCTAAATATTGAAATTTGAACAAAGAAGATTCTGAAGAAGGGATATTCTAAAATTCTTCATTATAAAATATTGTTAAATGTTCATTACAATTTCCTTGTTTTGCCTCTTTCATATGTCTCAAATAATTGACATAACCATAGATAGATATAGCTCAAATCCTAGCTAGACAATGTTTAAGAGGAAGTATCAAAAAGTAAATGGAAAACTTGTTTTTGATGTTAGACACGCTCCATTACCCTGAGCACTGATATAGACAAAAATGGAGTTACTCTTCAAAAATGCTTTGACACGGCAGAAGTTTGACAAGGACAGGCTGCCAAGCATCGCAGCAGTATCTACCATTGATTGTAGTTAACATACACAGTCCAAGACTGACAAATTAGCGTTTCTTTCTCCATTTAACCCATAACAATTTAGCTTCCCATTCATAACAATCTTAAGAAAACCATCTCCTGTTCAGGTTTAAAATAGTATAACTCTTCTTTGTGAGCTATAGTTTCATGTATTTATTTTGGTGAAACTGGGGATTGGCCATGCTACTACATTCCCCAGTTCCTGCATTTCTGACACTGGTTTTCACTAAGTCTGTAAATTGCCCAGGCTGGGTTCAAAGCTGTGATCCTGCCTCAGTCTGAGTGCTGGGATTACAAACATGTGCCACCATGCCAGGCTGATATTCACTTCTTATTATAACTTTATTATGATAACTTAAAAGAAAATTAAGGTGAAGTCTTCGGTATCATCATCTCACACTTGAAATATTTTACATTAAATTCCATGCCTGACTGCATTTCAACTGTAATATAAGAAATGCCTTCAGGCCACCTACAGGTACATACTCATCTATACAAAAGTTTGTGTGAGTGTGCGTATAAATATTTTTGATCAGATTTTGTTGATTAATCCTTCCTACATGTGAAGACTGAAGCATTCCAGGATTCCAGTAGCTTGATGACATGATTTTCCAGTATTGGTTCCAAGCTTCTTTTATAATCATTATTTCTATGAAGTCATTCAACTTGGAAATAATTGCTTGCCAAAACGGAGTTTCTCTGGTGAACCACTCAACACAGCTTTAGTTTTACAAAGAACACCATTCTTTGTGTGCTGTTAATCTTGGCTTGGAAACATTACAAATTATCCTTTCCACTTGAACAGTTCAGCTCCTGTTCTCCTAGTTATACTTTAGAACCATTAGACTCACTTCTGGCATATAAATGCATGAGTCACCTAGTTGGTGACTCTTTGAAAAATGGATTTTCCAAGTGTAGATATGTGAAACCTCTGTCCAGGGCAACATTTAATAGTTGATACAAATGTGAAGACTTCCAAAGTTGGTTTATAAAGAAAACTGTTAGAAAAAAACAAAATAAAACAAACAAAAAACCCCATAAAACTGTTAGCATTTTTCTTCATGGAGTTTTGTTTTGAGATTAACTTTTGAGATTAATTTGCCATGATAATGAAGTTTTGACATTGAATTTATTGAAATAAGTTAGTGTTTCCTGTGAAAATATTCTGAGAATTTAAGTTTAATTTTTATTTTCCCCTTTAATCTTATCTCATTTAATTGTGAACTTCTGAAAAGCTACTGGCAGAAAGTCCCTAACATGAAAATATGATGAATTAATAATTTGGGTGTTGAATTCACAATAATTTCTCTGTTTTCTGACTGCAATGATTTAGACATAATTGAAATGGAATATTATTGACATAGATAGTATGGGCTTAACAATATAACAGGCTGTTCATAGGCTCTGTGGCCATTATGGAAAAGTAAACTGAAATTGCTTTCCTGTTTTACATTCACAATGAAATTTCTGAACATAAAGTTTTCCCTTGTCAAATCCTAAAGAAACTATATCTCCCTCTCTTCCAAATTCAGAAAAACTGTGTCATAAATAATTACCAGTCAAGACATGTTTGTAAACGTGATTTGCTCATTAGAATTCTCTATAAAAATGAGAGCAGTTATACTGAAAATATTATATATCAAATGAATGATGCTACTCGATCAAATTATAATGTAAGGCCATTAAAAAGAAAAAAATCTTAAATGGAAAAATTGAGAACATGTTGGAATCCATAGCAAATATGCAGTTTTAAAAGTTTGATATTAAATGCACCAAGGGCTTATAGGTGACTTACAATATTTTCTTCTTATTAGAAAACAATCATGTATCCCTCAAGATTTGAAGGTACATGAGACATGAATAATGTATTTACATTTTATATTCAAACTGATTTTGTCAACGCAAGAAAGTTTGCACAATTACATATGGCTCTATTTATATTTTCAGGAAGATTCTGGTGTACATACAAGTGAATTCTATAACATGTCTAATTCAAATTGCTTTCTGAGCATTTATATACATCTAAGGGTAATAATAAATTTTGATTCAATTTTATGAATTTTCACACATGAATGCACACATATGCAAATGCACAGGAAAAAGCATTGAATATTTAGAATGCCTCTTTAAGAGAACACAGGCAAACATGTCTTAACACTCTGTAAAAACTGAAAACTATGCAAAAACCAACTTAGTACTGCATATCATACAATTTCGAATAAAGTAAGATAAAATGATAGCCTACACTGCAGGTCTTTTCTGTGCACGTTAAAACAGAAAGTTAAAAAACATTCAATGATATTCCTTTTATCATTGATTGCTCATAAAACTCAACAGGAAGGTTCTGGGTGAGTTTGAAATAAAAACTGTATTTTGGGGAACTTGGCAGGTAACACAGTGGTGGAATGCCTGCCTAGCCTGGACAAGGCCTTGGGTTCAATCACCGGTATGATAAGAAAAAACACTCATGAAAAACATGTAATATTAAGCTGTTTCCTAAATTATATATACTTTAAAGAAGAAAATAAATTGAAGACATGTAATTTAAAAGTCTTGGCTAAAGGATTTACACAATAGAGAAGACACAAAGTCAAATCACATCAGTGAAACCACTTTTATTTTTATTTTTCCACATAGATAATTTCATGTCAACTACAAAAATCATGAAATGAAGAACTGATCATGAAACTGCAAACTCAGAGTCACTGCAGTGATAAATAGGTTTCCCCCAGATGATTGTTCAAAAAAGTAACCAGGATACCATAAATTCATATTTAAGTAGTGAACATGTCATATATTCAGAAGTAATAAATATAGAATAGCAATAGAGAAATTAATAGCATAAACAGCATGAATTATATTTTATTTTTAAGACAGATGAAATTTCTAGGCACAGTTTTAGGCATTAAAGAGGACACAGAGGCATAGGTTAGTGTGCGCTGCTCTGTACAAAAATACAGTCTGAATAAATTACATTGCTAGCCATACAATTAAACATCACTTACCAATCAGTTTATCGCATTTTAATAATATACAGGTACATGCTAATCCATATATATCATTTATATTTCAAACACATAGGTCTCTCTATATTTATGTCTTTAAAATTTACATGTTGAACTTACAAAAAGCTAAATACTTGTGCAAGAAATCCGAATAACTAGCCCTGCTGAGTACTTTTATGCTATGCCATATACTCTCTAAAATAAACAATGAGTTGTGGTTAGCAATTTTGCTTAAGAAAACATGAAACACACCTAAAGCTGCAGAAACATATCAACGTAGGCCAAACTTCACTTGTGTTTATTCTGACAGACAAAAATAGTATATTGGATGAGCAACTTGTGATGGTAGAAATGTAGCACAGGGCTGGCTCTTCAACTGGGAAGGGAAAAGTTATAGAAGAAATCTTTTCAGTAAACTGCAAATATGTGTGCCTCGACATATTGATATCATCATTCTCCACTTTGTCATACTGACAGAGAATGAAAACTTGGTAAGATCACGATATTGGTCTAATAGCACACTGCATCCTCCACTGGGTCCAAGGAAGGTATCTCACTGATTCCAGCACCAAAGTACTGTTCTTCCACTATTCGGAATAAAGAGATGTTCACACAAGTGTCTTTAATAACCAAAGTCCAAATATTTTCTTATGCTGTTTTGAAAATATGCAATTAACTTCAAGTGAGTTTGCCCCAGATTTTACTATTCCTCAGGAAGATCGCTTCCAAATATTCTACAATAATAGCATCTTTCTGGAACACTTCCATTCATAGTTTCTTATGATTCTTTACAGAATCACACACGTTTATAGAGGTTTCTCTCTAGGATATACATTTGTCTATCATTACCAAAATGAGAATAGGCCTGGTACTTCATATTTACTTTTTTTATTCTGTAGAAAATTCACCATATAAGTGACTTTTTTTGGCATTTGAATAATAAAATAGTTTTGTTGGGTGGGGGCTGTTGGTTTTGGCAACCATTTTAAGACAAGTTAGAAGCAGAAATCTGCTCTTGGAGGCAAAGAAAATTATTAAATATTCACGATGTGGTCCTGCTTGCAATGGTTTTTGTAGTATAATAATAAATAGACATGTTTTATTTTTCCAATGCTGCTTTCTGCAAGAGGGTCAAATCAGAACATACTGTTGTAGTGTCTTTAAGAAAAATAATTATTTATAACTTTTATATTAGAATTGTATATTTTATATAAAAATAGGTTTATAATTAAACTATCCAAATTTGTATATTAAACATGTTTGATACAAGTTTGCCGTGTGAGATTAGCTGCAAACTTATTATTGATATTTTCTTCCCTTGGAACAGTGAGTAAATGATTTCCTCAACATAAATCCATCATAATTGTGTGCACAAATCAGCCCATTAGTTAGTTCCAGAGGACCAGGTGATAACTAAATGAATTATATTCCTCTACCAAGACATTGAGACATTTATATAAATCTATCGCTATTTTTAAAAAACGAAGACATTTAAAATACTTGCAAAATATAGCAGCCTTCTATTTTAATGAATTTTACACAAAGTGATCATCCTAATTGCTACTTTCTTTTGAACTACAGTGCTTATGGAACAATCATTAATTCGCATATTAACACCATTTTAATTTTTCTTCTTAGGCAATTCTATTAATACTTTCCAGTGAAACAGTAGAGAACATAGAGCAAAAGCCTTAAAGTATATGTACTTTTATATGGTAAATGAATGTGAGAACCAATCTAAGCCTCTTAATGTGTACAAGGTTAGTGTTCAAACCACTTCACAAGAGCAAATATTAATTTTATATGTAATTGGTAAATGCATGTGCAGGGTTAGGGAACAAATTACCATTTACACTAATGATTCACCTTCTATAAAAAATATTTAAGTTTGTTACATAAGCACAGTTGTTTGCTGCAATGTTTGATAAATGATTTAAAGGGTACAAAAGCAACTCATGCATGTTTCTTTCTGATTGCCCCAGGGAAAGCAGAGATCCTCAGTTTTCTCCCCTTCTAGCAAGTCTGAGGCACAATTTCTAAGCATATAATGAAAAGCTCATGTCTCCAAGTCTGGACTTTCTTTCAAGGGAGATGCTGATTGCCAAAACATAGCCTCCTATTAAAAAAATATTCTTGAAAGTGGAATGTGTACCATTAACCAGATATATCTGCAACACCCATAAGATGCCAAAGGGCAATTCGCTTTTCAAGAACTCACTCAATTACCAACAACCAATGTAGTCATTGGGTGGAAAACATAGGTGATGCAGGATTTAACAATGGCATCCTTATCAGAGCAAAGGAACTTCTAAATGCTGCTTATGCAGCTGCTCCCCTGCAGGCAATATGAGATTCAGGCAATTTTCATTCCAACTAGTTTCTCACAATAGTTGCTGTCATATAGACCCTTCACTTGTCAAGAAAAATGACACGAACATATTGGAAGTTTGAAGCATTTGCCTATGTCTAATCAGCTCTCTTAATTTGTGCAGGTCCCTAAAATGCATGTAAAAGCTGGTTATGATATTGACAGCCAAAAGGCAAAGGGTATTAAATCGAATGAGCAAACTGCTGAATGCTCCACATGTGTTTTAGAAAACAGAAAAGATGCACATGTAATTCTTTTGTTAGATGGTTGCTTTTGCTTTTGCTTTTTTATTTTTTTAATTTGACACTCAGTATTAGTAGTAATCTTCATAGTTCTTAGGGTTCAGGCAGTAAAGGATGGCTCCCCCAAATGAAAATATAGTTGCACCCCAGGCCAGACCATAACCCCAGTTGAACTCATGGTAAATTTTCAAGCTCACAGTTTCAATGAACTTGATTGGGTAAAGGACCAGGCTGCAAACCTGTAAAACAACTAGAAGAAAAACAAATCAAAATTAGAATATGTTGTGTACAGGAAGTAAAACAACATAAATATATACATATATACATAAATATATACATATAAGGATAACTTTTTAATCAAAAGCCAAAAAATTTAAAATATTGCTTATTTTAGATGGTATCCTTTGAAATGTTAACAATTTTTTTGATTAAACATTCTTTCATAATATGGTGAGAATTATTCTATTAATAATTAGTGAATCAGTATTTAATGAAATAATTAGCACTTTATATAAAGATACAAAGTAGTAACTCAACTTATGAACACATATACAATTATCAACTATAATGACTACTAGTATTAGTTAAGCTAAATGGTTCTACTACACAAAACCCATAAATAGATGCCTGACAATGATGTCAATGCAAACAAATCCTTGTTCTTGTTGTGCCTGAGTAACTGGGGAATTTAAATCCACTTTTACTGAAAACCAGACTAACAGGTCAATGAACATATAGAACATGTAAGACGATTGTACTAAGTCAAGGTACACATTCAGATTGCAATCTGCACTGGATTACAATATCTTTTTCTCTTTTCCTTTTTTCTCATTGTCTCTATTTTATACTTTAGATAGATAGGTTTTCATTGAAGAGAAACTATGTGATATTTAAACTTGTGTGTATGAATTACTTTCCTTAACATTATGGTCTCAAGTTGCATCTATTTTCTTACAAATGATTTAAGTTTATCCTTTTTAATGCCAAGAGTAGTACTCCAACAATATCTTTAATTTAATCACATGTACAAAGATGCCCATTCTATAGAAAGCAATATTTACAGGTGCTAGAGGTTAGAGAATGAATTCCCATTTGTGAAGAAGGGGATTTCATATATGATAATTTACTATATAAGTTCTTTTAAGATAAATAAATGAACCTGATGCTTGAAAAAATAAAAGGGAGATGGAGGGGGAGGGAAAAAGAAGGAAATTGAAGCAAAATGTACAAATCTCCTACAGTGAATGCAATCATTATGCACTGCAAACACGTATTAATAAAAGCGAAAATACAACAAAAATAAATTCACTTTTACTGATTAAACTGGTCAACCAGTGAGTCAAAATGTCCGTCAACAAATGAATGGATAGTGGTATTTATATACAATGGAGTACTACTTCGCCATAAAGAAGGATCAACTTGAGTCATTTGCTACAACTACTCTCTTTCTGTTAGAAGTAACAGAGGATATTTACATATCTATTTCCCACCTACTTTCAAAAAGTTAACTCAGTGAAGGCATAGGAAATAATAGTACTGAAAAACCAACAAAGCACAGAATATAATTCTTAGTTTAAAGTTAGATCTTGATTCCCAGTCAGGATTAAATGAGAAAGTAATGAGTCATGTTTAATAAAATAAAACAAACCAAATATTCAGGAAGGGAAGGAAAAAGAGCTTTATTTTTTCTTAACCATCTAAAATTAGACTGTATATATGCTGTGGATATTTGTAAGTGGGAGACACTGGTTTACAACAAGAAATGATATCACTTGTTCAATCCATAACTTCCTATCGGATCTGTTATTATATAATTTGCATTTTATCTAAATCAATTGAAAGAACTTATAGGATGTATCTGCCTCTTACTCCATGAAGCATAAACCCACAAGAAATAGGAAAACTTGTTGGCAAACTACTAAATCTGCTGTGTAGCTTGTTTTGAAATCAAAATATTTTATTGAAACACAGCCATGCTTATTCATTTATGCTCTGTCCGCATTACAATAGTAGAACTGAGCACTAACAACACAAAGCCAAAATTACTTTTGAGCCAATGATATTTTTCATTAAAATGATTAATTCATCTTCAAAATACTGTAACCTCCTGAAGTTCAAGAACAAAGATGTGAACAATCAAGGAATAGGAAAAAAACTGTGACAGGGTTAAAATATACACATATGCAGTTGTAATAAAATTTATTAAACTTTTTAAAAAGCACAATAGAATGGATAGCAACTGGAACTTTGTTTTAATTAAGACATACTCTCATCTATTCTGAGCACCTATAAAGGATCATGTTTTAACATGATTAACATATGTAATAGTCTACATAACAATCATCTATCTCTGACATAATACTGATGAGCAACAGCAAGTTCTTGAAGGCATGATTCCTCAAGTTTGTTACTTTCTGTAAGAATCTGACTAGGGAACAAAAGATCTCTCTGGAACCTGATAAAATTATTGCATATAACTTTTCCATATAGCTCTATATTTTCCCTGGCCTACTACACTCCCATGTTACTTCTGACAATGGATGGATGGATGAATAAGCTCACGTAACAAGAAAATCCCTTGACATCCAAAATAGAAATCACATAATTTTTAGCTTAGAAGTCTTAGAACAAGTTTGAGGTCATTGTTAGGACTCAACTGAGCGGACATGATAAAACCTGTATTTCATCTGTTTCTAGCCACTAAGTGATAACCATGACCAACAAAAAGAAATGCCACGTTTAGAAGCATGATTAAACTATAAAAGGCATTTCTCTCTTTGGGTTTCTATATTCTGGCTGTGAGTGAAATCGTGGATGATCTTTCCAGGATATGATTATGACTGAAGAAGGAATGTGAGTTAGGTATAGTCATTAATTTACTTATTCAACATATAAATCCATTCAATGAATATTTCAGTGTTTCAGAAGTGACACAATTTAAGACATCCTTGGTAACAAAGGGGAAAAAGTTGCTCTTCTCATAGATAGGCAGTCCATTAGTAAATAAATGCTGAATACAATGGTAGGTACTGCTAAGAGACTCGAAAATCTAAGAAAGCAGGAGCAGGGGAATGAGGGCTGCTCTTTCAGATTAATGATGGGGAAAGGCCCCTCTGGAGAAAAGACATTTGAGTACAGACCTAAGTCCAGAATGAAATGCAGGTGTAGGTTAGAGTAGTCCAGAGTGAGCATTCCAGCAGGAGGACACAGGTAGTGCCCAGCTCCTGACCCAGGGGACATCTGGGGAGCAGGGGAAATGTTGGGGTTGCAGTACAGAGAGTGGAAAGGAAGAGTAAAGCTTTGCAAGGGCCAGCAGAAGCTCTCATGGACAACCTTGAGAATCATTAGGGACCTTGGTTTTATTGTAAGTTTGACAAGCGGTTGGTAGAAGATTTTGAGCAGAGAAGAAATAACTAATCTGAATTATATTCTACAAATATTATATTGCTTCTTTTGTGAACTGGCCAGTCTTAGGAGATACTCTTGTAGTATGTGTTCTAGGTTTCCAGAGTTTCTAGAGGAAAATTAATTGCCAAATTTTTCTGCTTTCAAGTAAAAAAATGTACCCTTTATTGGCTGCCTTCTGAATCCTATCTCATGTTCCATACCCCTTACCACACCCCTTCTTTTATCTCCCAAATAAAATATCTATACTTGATTCCTTGTCTCAGAGACTGTTTATGTGAAAACTAAAGTGTTACATAACAAGTCCAGATTGGTATTTCAGAAACAAGCCTCACCTGTTTGTGTGTAACACAGACCACACACGGGGAGGAGTACACAAAAGCACAGGCCCCTTGAGGGTCACGTAGTGCATAGGTTCCTGTGTAAAGTGATGCCTAAGACACTATAGGTGAAAAAGAATGATCAGTCTCTAGCTATCTCACTGTAACTCACAGGATGGTAACAAGGTGTGCAAAACACAAGTCTCTCATGAAACACAATTATGAGACGAAAATACATTGAAGGAGCTTTTAAAAAAACACCACTCCAGATAAATAATCACATACAGGAAGTTTTTCACAGATATAACAAATTGAACCATCTTTAATAATGCTGTATAATAAATGAGGACTGTGCTAATAAAATTTAAATTAGAAAAGTGATAATTTTCGTAATTTATATTAAAGGCCTTGGGGGAAGAAATGAAACTCTCATCCTAAATACCTGTGGAGTATAAAAACAATCTGCAGCCAGTTCAAAACTAGACAATAAAAGAAGATAACCAAGAAAGAGAAAATATCTGTAATTTCACCAAGTCTTTCCTGCAGAGAGCTGAATGCCATTTATCAGAATCTTATCACATCTTGCCTGTCACTGTCAGTGACACAAAAAGAAATGTGCTGGAGTAAACTCCACAGAAAGTATACATAGCTTTCATTATGTACTGTGTTCAGTCATGCTGCACTGATCAGTCTGTGGTTTTTATGACATCGGGTTGCTGACTTCCTTCAGGTGCTGCTCCTGAGAGATGGAGCGCACCAAGAGTTACAGGATGTATTCTAACTGTAGTACGCAGCTGGCAGGTGAATTCAAAATCAAAGCTGATACTTCTCTGGTTTTTCCGTATGTAATAGGCACCCAAGGAAAGATGAGTCGTGAATGTTCACTTAGGCTTTCAAGTCAGCTTAGATGTTCTGAATTTAAACACTGGCGCTCCAACTTACTAGTTGGATAATGTGGGGAAATTACTTTACCTATCTGAATCTATTTATTCATTGATACATTAGAGTAATGTTAAGATTGTTTTATCAGAAACAGTTTATTATATGTGTTCAACACTGTGGCATATGGTAGCTGCTAAATTACTATTATCAGCATGATTATTATAGATGAAATCTGATTATGAAATCTTGACTTCCAGGACTGGAGCGTGAGAGTTATTAAAAGTAGGACAATGGTTGACATGATGTGTAATGGTGGCTAGCTCATAGCTCTGCTAGCAACTGTTAAAGCAGATAACAAGCCCATCCCAAATGCAAGACTTCAAACAAAAGAGGAGATAAAATCTTTCAAATCTCTCTAGCTGTCTTTATGGATTTAGTCCTTAGTTTTCAATAAAACCCTCAGAAGTTCTTATCTAACATCAAGATATTATATACTTGCAAAATGGAGGTGCCTAAAATTTGTTAAATAAATGAATAAAATATTTTTTTAATTTAAAATCATTTTGATAACCATTTTTTAACTGTTTTGGTCCTAGCTATGTGATCACATAAAACATGCTGATTCATAAGCCTCAATAACAGAAACAGATTTTAAAAACCGGAATTAGACTTAGTTGTTTACATGCATGTTATTCCCCACCAGATTGTAAGCCACATGCTTTAGTCATCTATCATTCATTCAGAAACTATTTACTGAGTGCCTGTGAGTACGAAGTACAGCACATGGTACTGAATTAAGGCAGGATGGAGTTCTCAATAGAGATGTTTCCAAGTGGTAGTGGTGCCTGGTTTCAATTTATGTACTGCATGTTTCAACAGAAGAAATGAAATGTAAACACCAATATATTGCTTATTGTCACAAGGTTGGTGTTATTTTGAAAAAATGTGTCTTGAGAAAAAGAGAAACGACAACTGTTTTCAAGTAGAAAAAGTTATAAATAAAAGGTAAAACTAGCTGCAAATATGTATTTATAAAAGATCACTAAAGCAAATTAAAAGTGAGACAAACCAACTGCTTGAATAGTTACTAAAAGGTAAGCAACATAGGCAAGGATAACTAGCTAGCATCATTCCAATAGTCAGATTTTCCAACTTTTCCATGAGTAAGCCCAAGTCAATAAGAGGTTATTGTGTGTAGTTAATATCATTTCCCAAAATCAGCGATAGCCAACTCTTAAATGACTTTTGCAAATAGGAGAGAGAAATGTTTTCATGACATGTTACAAATAACCAGTGGAGTTTTTATCTTGTTTATATATAAAGCAAACACTAAACTGTTGCTTACTTCAAAACAAACTTTCATAATCATAGTGTCAAATGAGAAGAAGTCAAATTAAATCTCAGCCCATGTACATATTTAAAATGTAGAGTATAATGTTCATTTTTGGTGTCAGTTGGTACAGCAATACAATATGAATTTTGCTGCAGAGATTTCCTTTGTTATTTTATGATTTACTAATATATGTGGTAGCGAGAGCTAAATCAAAATCTTTATTTTGGCCAAATCCATTACTTTAATATTATGTTCATTTACAATATATTTTCTGTTATATCGACTATTTATTTAAAAAAAATTTCTACACTTAGAAAATATAATTTTTATAACATTTCTAAAACATTTTTCTAAACATGCTTATAATAGATGGTATCAACAATGAATTTATAAATTCTACATTTGCCATTATAAAGTATGGTAAACTCTAAATGGAATAGTATGAATAATAAAATTGAGTATTTATAATAAATGACTAAACTATCTCTAATTCTAAAGTGAAAAATGTCTATGTATTCTAGAAATTACTTCAAGCAGAGCTCCAATTTTAAAGACTCATATATCATTGGGAAAAATTTATCAAGAAATATTATTACAATAGATTATCTATTTATTACATTAGTAAATCCTAGCTGCAAAGATATACTACAATTGAAATATCTAAATTTTTTCATTCTGAAATAGAAAAAAGAGCTGCGATAAATCTTTGAATTGAACTGAAAGTAAATCAGAGAACTACAATGAATCTTTAGGGGAGTCTTCATGTACTAAATCATTCGGAATAGAGACTTGTATTACTTATGAGAGCAATAATGATACTACGGTCACTGTGTAAGACTTCAAAGTATTTTCTGTAATCATGCTTTTTAGTCTGTTAGGAAATATCTGTAGTAATACTTCGGTCAGTTTTATAGGTATCTTAAGGCAAAATTTAGTTCATAATAGGCACTCAAGAAATAGTTCAATGAATGTAGAAGAGAGACAGTAGTGAATAAAACACTAGTTTAAGATTTAGTTTAGTCAGCTCCCAGCCTCCGGTTTGCCAGTACCCACTATATGATCTTGAACAAGTCACTCAAATCTGAATTAGATGTACTTCTGGATTCCTTCAGCACTTTGGATATTCAATTTCATTATACCTATTGTTCTGACCAGTCTTCATAGGTATAAGAAGATAAACATAAAACAGCAGGGGGCAGCAGAACACTTTGGATTTCATATTTTTCGATCAAACGATCTCTCAAATCCTAAGAAATTTTATCTGTTCCATCCGTTAAAAAGCTTTTAAAAATCCATCTAACAGCCTAGATGTTTCTGTCAGTGTCTTCATTATTGACAGTCACAGGGGCTTATTTTGCAGACTTCAAATCAGATATGACTGACGGAGTAAATTGAAGGCACCACAGAATATTTCAACTTACCTAAAAAAGAGTAATATATTCAAGGGTACCTTTACAAATTAAAATTAAAACTCATATCAAATAATGTACTGGACTTTTAGTCCATTAGCTGCTTATTTTATACATAACTCTTTTAGTTTACCTTGGTAGATATTTCAATTCAAGCTATGCTTCACAGAATGATGGTTGTTAAATTAACAAACATACAATTGACCTCATAAAATTAACTTGTCTGATTGTTCAATTTATATGTCGTGCTTTTCCAGCATAACATTTATTTCCAAAGAGATGTATGTCCTTAAGAGTAGACATTTTGGAATTTTGTTTTCCAGTTTCATGTCAGAAACAATGATGTTGCTTTAAGATTAACAAGAGGGCAGTAGAAAGTTGAAAGAACTGATTGCATAAAAAGATTGTTAGTAAATACATCTGCTACAATTCCAAAAGTGAGAGTCCTGTCAAGAAGTATTATTTTTTCGTGTTTTAGTTAAAAGTTTGGAAATTGCCACTGTGTTCTGTGAAATGCTCAACATGCTGAAAACGGGTATTATGATAACCTTCAGACAAATTATCTTCAAATATTAGAAATTTTTATGCAAGGTTCCAAATACATACTGCTTCTGCATGAGAAGGGAGGATGGTAGAAAGAGTCAGGAAACTTTAATACTGATTCGAAAGTAATGAAAAGTATTTACCTGCTGCAAAAAGCATAACAGCAACAGGTCTGTAGAAGCGCCTTCGAGATCCCACGCAGATAGAAATCAAACCCACCAGGAATGCAATGAGAATGATGGCTGCACCACCCAAGAGTAAGGCCAGAGTAGCAATCTGCCAATCTGGAAAGAAAACAAAACAAAAACAAAACAAAACAAAACAAAAAACAAACAAACAAACAAAAAAAACAAAGGCATTGCTTTTAAGCAGTAAGTCCTCAAAGAATCAACAGAACTGTGCTCAGCAACCTTCAGCTGGCTGCAGCTCAAGAGATGTGATTTTAATGCACGCTAAGCATCCTTTGGGCTTTGAAATGTTTTGCAACAAAAATTAATATTAATGTTCTTATTCAGAAACGGCTCCTACGCTAAGCTCAGCAGAGAGCTTTGAGATGATGGGTTTGTCACGCTTTTCTTCCAAGTACTCTATTAAGCATTCATGTTAAATCAAGTGTCCCCTCTGTGACCTATATATATACATATTGTGAATTTATAAATCTATGCAAGCATCATTTGGATTAAAATCTCAGATACAGTTCCATCACCAAAAAGTTTCTTTATGCCACTCCCACTGAATAACTACTCTCTCACTTCTGTTACTGACAATATGTATCACACCACTATGGATTTGTTTAGTTTTGCCTGTTAAAAATCAACATTAACTCTTTGCGTTTGGCTTTTAAAGATCTGATATAAATCTATGCAAGCATCATTTGGATTAAAATCTCAGATACAGTTCCATCACCAAAAAGTTTCTTTATGCCACTCCCACTGAATAACTACTCTCTCACTTCTGTTACTGACAATATGTATCACACCACTATGGATTTGTTTAGTTTTGCCTGTTAAAAATCAACATTAACTCTTTGCGTTTGGCTTTTAAAGATCTGAAATCCACCCATGTTGCTGTGTGTGGTAGTGCGTAGTACATTCTTTTTATTGCTGTTCCTCCTTGGAAAGCCTTCCTTCACCTCATAAAAATTCCCCAAGTTTTTATTTATCTCCTCTCCACCACTAAAACAATCCCCTGCCAATTAGCTTCAGAAGGCTTTGTTGCTGTTTAGTTTTTCCTCCTCACTTTCATTTTACTCTTGTCTTACTGCTGGGTTTACCACCACAGGAATGGTTTCTGAAATTAAGTACGCCCACAGAGTCAGGATGGATGCTAAATGGTTGTTCATCCTCTGCATACAGCAAGCCTATACTGACCACTTGCTGTGTGAAAGCCTCTGTAAATGGGATATGTCAAAACCACATCTCACACAGTAAAAAATAAACCTTAATGAATGTAGCTGACATTTTTCATACAATAAAGATATGGTCATGGTGTGACAGAAAACTAGCCTAATCGTAACCATTTTTTTATCTCTTTTCCCTCCCTATCCTCCCTCTCTCCCCTTTCCTTAGGTTTCCTTCCTCATCTGCAAACAGCTACTCACTACTTCCTATTATCTCTCCTTTATTTTGCTTTTTTAATATATTTTGGGTTTCTCGTGTACGAGAAACCACGCAATACTTGACCTTTTGTGCCTGATGTATTTCAGGTAACATTAGTCTCAAGATCCATGCATTTTCCTACAAATGATTCAAATGTATCCTCCTTTATGGCTGAGTAATACTCTAATGTATATCACCTTTTCTTATCTGCCCATCTGTTGATGGGTATCTAGGCTGTTTCTGTAATTTAGCCATTGCGAATTGTGCTGCCATAAACATGGGTATGCATGCATCACTGTACTACGATGACTAACTCTTTTGGGAAAAGATCCAGGCAGGAGACATAGAGCTGGATCAAAGTAGAGTTTCTAGCTTGAGTTTTTTGAGGACTGACATCCGTGGTGGTAGTAGTAGATTACATTATCACCAGCAATGTAGAAGAGTTTCCGTTTTTTCCCACATCATCACTATTGTTAAATTGCAATACACTGTATGCGAAGTTCAGGACTCGTGATGATGCTTCTTCCCTCGAAAATAATCCCTCTAGAAAGCCTCCAAACAGCATTTTTGGCTGCCAAAGGATAAAGGATGAGCAGAGGAACCTCCAAGATTTTCATTTCTTTGTACGTGTATATTGCTGCCTCCAGCGTCCTCCTAAGAAATTCTGCTTATTTCAAGGGCACTCAACTAGAAATTGCACAGCAATCAGGAAACAAATAAATAAGGTGAAAATAGAACAAATCTGAACTTCTTAAAATATAAAGATGAATCTCAAGAGAGTAGAGAGCATTTTTATGCCATCTATTTGTATCAAAGCCATGTAACTTCAAACAAAAGTATACCTGGCTTTCAAGTAGAAGTTAAAAGTACAGCCATACTATGGCTTTTTATTCCCTACCAGCACGGAGCTTTGAATTAAAAAGCCAATAGAATAATTCTTACACTTGGAAGTCTCTAAATTTCTTTGGAAAAGTTTATTCATAGCACATTATTCAACATGATGGAAATCCTTCTGAAAACTTGTGTGTAAGTTGAAATTTCTGAATAAAAATATATCAAAGTTTAATTATATCAAAGGATATAAGGTTCAAAGAAAAGAACAAAATCCATCCATCAATGAAGATCTTGGAAGGTTTGGTTAAGATATTCTATGCTAGATACTCTCTAGTTGGACTATTATTTTTATGAAATGAGTATTACTTTTTAACAACTTTCCCAAATTATTTTCTATAAATAAGAATTTTTTGGGCCGGGTGTGGTGGCGCACTCCTGTAATCCCAGCACTTGGGAGGCTGAAGCAGGAGGATCACTGTGAGTTCGAGACCAGCCTGGGCTACATAGGGAGTTCTAGGTCAGTCTCAACTACATAGTGACACCCTGTCTCAAATAACCAAACAATCAAACAAACAAACCCAAAAACAAAAACAAAACAAAACAATGTTTTAGTATTGGCTTTGTTCAAATCAAGATAAAAATAAATATAACAAGGCTTATGGCATTGTGTCATTCATATAAAAACGTCTTAAAATAAAACTGCAATTTTTTTCCTAAGCTTTTCACATAACTCAGTATGCATAAAATGCCACACAAATGTCTATTTTCATTTGCAAACAAAAATCAAACAGGGATTGATTTTAATCACACTTCTATGTCTCAAATGTCCTTAAAGAACAGATAAAATACATAGAGTTGCTTGTGTTTTTAAAGATAGATAAAAATATGCAAATTTTCTCTACAGAAACCCTAATAGTAAATATTTTTCCCTTTCTAGGTCACTCTATATGTTGTACGTACTCAACTCGGCTATGTAGTATGCAGATAGCTACAGACAATACGGAAATGAATGGGTATGGTTGTGTTCCAATACATCTTTATCTACAAAAGCAAGTGGTAGGCTGGTTTTAACTTTACGGCTAATTTGTTGGTGATCTCTCATCTACCTTTTACATCTAACTTTTATTTTTTGTTTGTTTGTTTTTTTGTTTTGTTTTGGTTTGTTTTTTTTGAGACAGGGTCTCACTATGTAGTTGAGACTGACCTGGAACTCACTATGTAGCCCAGGCTGGTCTCGAACTCACAGCGATCTTCCTGCCTCAGCCTCCCGAGTGCTGGGATTACAGGTGTACGCCACCGCACCCGGCTCTCTACATCTAACTTTTAAAGATCAACATTTGTCCTAGGTAAAGGTCTTTTATAATAAAGCCAATTTGATAAATATAGAGTACAAAGTGATCCTTGCCCGAAATAGCAATAAAAACAGCAAAAAAAAAAAAAAATAGCAATGTCACATAATGTTTCATTTCCTCTGAAGTTATACTTGACTTTATAGAGAAAAATCAATAAAAATACAATAATAGAAGGCATAAGAATGAATTTTACTAAAAGGGACTGGAGTCTAAATAGGAAAAGAACCTTCTTGCACCACAGCAAATACTTCTAAAAAGCAGATGTACGCAAGCAGTTTTGGGGTTTCTATTAAACGTTCTGTATTTATTTTTAGAATTGACGTTATGGCCAATGAGAAAGTCATTGTACATGCGAAGTCAACAAGCAAAGAGATTCATCAGGGTCATCTTTGCTGTGATCCTGCTACCCTTTCCTTTGGTCCACAACAAGAGCTAGATCTATTCAAACAGAAAAGCTGTTTTATTTTTCAAGAGAGACTAGAAATGGACCATGAATGCCAGGGTCCTGGCTGGAAGCCGGGGCTTAGACTAGAATACTGAGACTGTATCCCTAGTGAGGGATGCCAAGGTTTTGAATTATTGTCGTCATACTCACTTGGAAGGATTCACTCAGGCCACTGGCCTGAAACCAAAACTTGATGTAACTGACCAGTTGAGCAAAATGTTTGCTTAGATATGGCTACTGTAAGCAATGGGGCTGAGAGCAGTGCTTGTGACATCACTTCTTTATCACTAAACGACCAGAATCCATTGTTCAAACATTAAAGTTGGCTGAGGGGGAGCTCAAGTCAGGAAATGTGTAGATTGAAAGAAACTAGGATATAAGGAATTAAAAAAGTGAAAAACTTGTACAGATATCCAGTAATGACTATTAAGATAGTAGGCTGAGCTTTGTATTTATACAGATAGACATGTGCTTCTCAACTGATCCAATACTAGGTTTTGCAACAACGTACACATATAAAATATTTTATTATATTTGGCAATTTGGGCAATGTTACAGTAATATTATAATAAATGGCCAGAAAACATATCTGTACCCTAATGGTTTTTCCTTTAAGGTTAGCATGCCACAAGTGCTTGCTATCCATATTCAGTGTTTTCAGATTAAAATGTCATAAAATTCTGTTTTCAGCCTCATTTCTTCAAAAGTCATATAGTTTAAAATTATCATAATCTGTTAATTTTTGTATCAATCTTAGTTGTCCAATTAATTCCTTACAGTATTTAGTCAAATGAAGTGTTAAGAAACCTTAGATTTATCACTCCACATTAGTCTTCAACATTTCTATAAATGATTTACTGATACTGCAGAGAAGCAGTGAATATAAACCAGCCCTGCAGAACATCAATGGTCATGGTGCCGTTTATAAAACAGCAGGACTAGGAGCAATTGAAACTTGCCATTGTTCACTGGTGGGTCAGCTGATTAGAAATCTGAATTCGTTCCCCTCAATTGTTTTTTTTTTCATTGCCTTTATCTCCCCCAATCTCCATCTCTTGTTCCCCTGTCCATTTGAAAAAAAAATCTCCCTAATTCCTATTTATCTGTCTTCTATTTTGTTCTCTCTCCCTCCCCCCAGAGATATAGACAGAG